TGGAGCTCATTCGGGCCTGCCGACTTAAAGGCATCCAGTTCTTCCAAGTGACTCTGCACCATCTCAGGGTCTACGCATGGTAGTCTGGCGCCTTGCTGCTCCCTCTCTACAACCCCAGTGAGAGACTTGTCTTGCCCCTCTCTTAGGAACACTGAGGCAAAGAACTCATTGAGGAGTTCAGCCTTGTCCCCCCTGTCCGTCACCAATTGCTTCTGCCCATTTAGTAGGGGTCCTATTCTACCCTGGGCCTTCCTTTTACTCCCTATATATCTAAAAAACAATGTCTTGTTATCCTTCCTTGTTTCTCCCAAGAGATATCTTTATAATTGAAGTCACCCATGGCAACCATGTCCCATGCATGCACAGCTCTTCCAGCTCTTGAGAGAACTCCAGATTGATCTCCTCTCCATGGTTTGGTGCACTGTAGTATACACCTACAGTTAGGTCTCTCTCACTGCACCCCCTGCCTGTAGTTTGACCTAGAGAGTTTCAAGCCATTCTTCTTTGGAGCCAATATCAGCCTCCAAGGAGGTGTACTGCTCCCTCACATAGAGAGCTACACTTCCACCTTTCTTCCCTAGTCAGTCCCTTCTCTGTAGGTTAGCCTTCTATGGCTATGTTCCAACCATGTGAGGAGTCCCACCAGGTCTCCATAATCCCTAGTAGATCATAATGCCCACTGGACAGTAGGAGGGCTAGCTCCTCCCGCTCATTTCCCATGCTCCTGGCATTAGTGTACAGGCACCTGAGTCCTCCAATTGAGACCCTCAATTTTCTGTCACACTGAGGGAGAAGCATTCCCTCAGCTCTTACTAGAGTGGCTCTCCTAGTGTCCCCAACTTCAGAGCTTTCTTGTGTGCTGGTCCCCGGGCATGCTCCAGTCAATATTTCAACATCCCCCGGTGATCTTACTTTAAAGCCCTATCTAAAAGATTGGACATCCTGGCCAAGAACTGGGACTTACCCCTCCATGTGAGGTGGATGCCATCCCTTCCCAGGAGTCCTCTCTCCCTGAAGCGCACACTGCAGTCAAAGAGACTGAAGCCTTCTCGGTAGCTCCATTGCCGGAGTCATTGGTTCACTTCTTCGATGCATCCTTCCCTCCTAGGTCCATGGCTGGCAACTGTAAGCACAGAGGAAAAAAACTACTTGCCCATGTGCATAAGTAGGCATGGGGTAGTGGTCGGAGGGCCGGACGAGCCTAGAGATCCTCTCCGCAACATCCCAGATATGGACCCCAGAGAGGCAGCAGAACTCATGGGCTCCATATGGCAGATGGGTCCCTTGGTGCCCTGCAGGAGGGAGTCATCCCCCCGACCACCTTGCTTCTCCTCTTGGGGGTGGCAGTTCACTGATTACCCACCTCCTCCTCCTCCAGTGTCTCCATCAAAGCCTTCTCATGCATGGGGAGGGGAGCATAACTGTCGTGCAATGTCAGGGGAGGGGCAGTCCTAGCCCTGCATGTCCTGGAGCTTGAGACAACCCTCTTCCAGGTAGCTCCAGGTGGGTCTCTTTGGCCAGCCTTTTGTATGGCTACCTTCTCCTCTATCTTCTTGTCTTCTTCATTCTTCAGGAGAAGAGCCTGACTGTAGTAGTCATCAGTCTCCTGCTCATGGGCCCTGATGGCATCCTGCTCATGGGACCTGATGGCACAAAGTCTGCCTACCGGGGCCCAGGGCTCACTCACCTGCGACTCCAGGGACCTCACTAAGGAGCACTGGTGGGGGTGACCTTGTTCCCACTCCCAGTTGCTGGCAAGCATGCTAGGTAGCCCCCACAGCCCAGGGCCAGGGGCTCCATCTGGGTGGAGGCCTCAGTGGTGCAAGGGAAGGGAGCACCAGTTGGGGCCAAGGCGGGAAGCCATGTGGTACAATATGTCCCCACCATTGTATGGTAATAGGCTACGCTACTACTCATGAAATGGCCTAGGGAACTGACCTGCGAACTGCTTCCCCTGTTTGCAGTCCCTGTTCACAGGCTCCCTAGTCACCTGGAAAGTCTCCTTTTATAGCCTTTTGGGCCTGGGCTGACTCAGCCCCTTTGTTAGGGCTTCTGTCAGGTGCAGGCAGCAATCACACAGCAGTCAGCAATTCCACAACAATCAGCCAGCAGTCAGCAATCACTCCCAGCTTCGCAGAGCACATGCCCCAAAAAACACACAGCCCACCAAACAAACACTCAGCAAAAACAAAGGTACAGGCAGCTGGATCACTTACCTTCCTTGGGCAGGATCTGGTGCCTGGCTTCTCTCCTCCTCCTCTCCTCTTGCCTCCAGCAACTGCCTGCAAACTGCTTTCCCTGTTTGCAGTCCCTGTTCGCTGGCTCCCTGGTCACAGGCTCCCTGCTCACCTGGGGAGTCGCCTGGTTCAGGTCTGCCTGTAAAGAAACTGCTTGTCCTCTAAAAACAACTAAAAAATGACTGACCCAAACTAACCTTTCCTTATGAAGATTACTGATAAACTAAGGAAGATATTAACAAGAGGAACACATTTTTGGTTCAATTTCTAAAAGCTCCCTATATCCAAATGTTTGGTGGCAGCCTGCTCCTCAGAAGATCTCTTCCTCCCTCTTTTTATTTTCATCAGCAGTAGGCCTAGCTCATAGATTCATAGATGTTAGGGTGCTGCTGTGCCCTGCCAGCCGCCGAGGGCATGCGGCATTCATGTAGGGGACCCACCCCTCCTAAGCAGCCCCCACACCCAGAGTCCCCCTACACCTACCCACACATTGACTCACCCC